GTGCGTCCAGCCTACAGGAAGCCTTATCCAGACATCATTGATCATGAAAATCCTTTTCCAAGGGGTTTTAAAGTGCCTGAGTTCACTTTATTTTCTGGTGAGGTTGGTCAGTCCACTATTGAACATATTGGACACTTCACAATACAATGTGGAGAGGCGTCTGGAGATGATAACTTGAAACTCAGACTGTTCCCTAGCTCTTTGACTGGAACAGCCCTTACTTGGTACCTCAGTCTACCTCAAAATTCAGTCTACTCTTGGAGGCAAATGGAGGACTTGTTTCATACTCAATTCTATTGTTGTGAACCAGAAGTGTCTATGGCAGACTTGTCGAGGTTAGCCAAAAAGCCTGGAGAGTTGTCTGAGGCATTCCTTGCTAGGTTCCAGAGAGCCAGACTGAAATGTAGAGTTGCACTACTAGAACAAGAATTTGTCAAGCTGGCTCAGAATGGTTTGGACATTGAGCTCCGAAAGAAATTTGAGGGGATGGAATTCCGAGACTTCTATGAATTGTCTTATAAAGTGGCTCGGTATGAAAATCTACTGAAAGAAGATGTTCAAAAGAAGGCTGCATCACATGGAACCTATTATAGTGATCCTAATTTTGATCTTGATGTGGCTGAGGTGGTTACAGACAAGCCTGTTGTTTGTCCAGACCTTGTCAGACCAACTCACCAGCCTGAGACGTCTGGGAGACGTTATGTTGGTGAGGCTGGAAAACAGTATACTTTTGATGTGTCAAAAGCTAGTGATATATTTGACTACCTTAAAAAGAGTGGTTTGATTAAGCTGCCGCCGGGACATAAAATCCCGACAGCGGTTGAAATCGGAGCTAGAGATTATTGCAAATTTCATAATTCATGGAAGCATTCTACTGATAATTGTCTTATTTTTCGTAATATCTTGCAAGAAAAGATTGATAAGAGTATCTTAAAATTTCCAGACAAAGCGAAGGAAACCATGGGAGTGGATGCAGATCCTTTTCCAGCTGTGTCTGTGGGCGTGAATGTCGCAGACCTCAGGAGTGTTGCCAGAAATTGCAGTCTGCCTTATGCTTAAAGGAACCTTGCTGCAGAAGACTTAAGGTGGGTTCTTGAGGCGCAGAGATCCAGACAGAGCAGGAGCGTCAGGTCAGACCAGCAGAGGCTCGGGGGGCAAGAAAGGATCACTATGACCAGGAACTTCAGTCCAGAAGGTGCCAGACGTTATTCAACTGGTACTAGATCTCCAAGGATGGTCAAACCGCCACTCAGGTTACCTTCCAGACGGTGGGAGAAAATTAGTCATCCCAAGTTTCCAGCCCAGAATCCCAGAACCTTGAGGCGCAGACTGCAGCGCAAGAGGGCTGAAGAGCGAAAAAGACACCAGAAGCAGGTGGAGGCTGAGGGAAGTTCATCTCGCAAACCACGCCAACCTACCAAAAGGAATATGGTCTGGGTGAGAAAAGAGAAAAAGGAGGCTGTAACCCAGACTCTACAGAAGGAGGATGACCAATCTTCAGCTTCTCCAAAGGTGGCGTCTGTCATTGTGAGTTCAGACGGAGTTTTGAAAGCAACTTTTGAAGCACCAGAACAGTTTGGGAATCATGGATCTGAATCAAAAGACGATGGCACTATTCATTTTGGGGAATTCTCAGTGAATTTGTCATGTCTGGTGCTGACATTACCCTTGGTTTTCCAAGCCAAGAAGGAGGAGGAACCAATTGTCTGTGAGTTCCCAGAACAGACAGAAAAAGAGGTAATTGTTGTTCCAGCTCATGATGATGAAGAGGAGGACATGGCTGACAAAATTGTGTTTGAAAAACCAGAAGAAAAGATGGCCAGACACATTAGGCCACTTTATATCAATGCTCACATGGATGGGACTCCAATCAGCCGTGTCTTGGTAGATAATGGAGCTGCAGTCAATGTCCTTCCAACTTGCATGCTCTACAAAATAGGCAAGTCTCTTGATGATTTAGTGCATACTGAAGTTACAATTAGTGATTTTACAGGAGGGGTGAATCATTCAAGGGGTGTGCTGCCTGTTGAATTAACAGTGGGAAATTAGACACTGATGTCTGCGTTTTTTGTGGTGGATACTGTTGCTACTTATAATGCACTTTTGGGGCGTGATTGGATTCATTCAAGTTGGTGTGTCCCTTCTTCACTTCACCAGAAACTGATTTTCTGGAATGGTGGCAAGGCTGAGGTCGTGTCTGCAGATAATAAGCCTTTTTCAGCCAACACTCACCTGGTGGAGGCTAGATATTATGAAGAGGACATTGGTACCATTCGGTTTTTTGGGATGGATAGACATGGGAAACCGATTGGGATAACAGCATGCAGCA